AGACGAAGAAGAGGATGACGTGTTCTCCCGGCGCCTATTTATACTATAGTCGCACCGGTAGTGACGTCATAGGCTGTCGCCGGCCAATGTTATTGTCGTTTTTAGATATATGCTTCAGACACCGGTCACACTGAAGGTGTTCCCCCATAGCGACCCCTAGAGGACGCAGTTCGAAGTTCCCTTGAAAGGGAACTGAAATATCACATTTACATAAGTATTCAGAGCCTTTGTAAGACTTGAGTTGAAGACTTTTTGAACGAATCTCTTGAATGAATGATTCAGACATCAAATACATTTTAACAGTCACTGGTCGCCACCTACTGGCATAATGTAACACATTCAACCTTTATTTATTTCCAATTATTCATTTTGATCGCGACAGCCGCAACATCAGGGTCTATATCCGCACTATAAACTCTTTCATCACTGTTTAATGTTTGCGACACAGAAATGTAGCCTGCTGTGTAAGTAGACTGTTTGTGAAGCTGTTTCAAACGTAAAGCTCTCCTGATGAGCGCTGCTCTCTCTGGACTGGATCAGCGGCTGCGCTAAATTTGCCAAGTTTTGCTGATGCAATCTTATTTCTACTCTTCTTAATCTTTGGCGAATCAAATCTGTTAGTGACTTTGTTCAAATATACTGAATCAGAGATTGCTCGAGTTACATCGATCCGATAATGAGCCACGTTAGCCGTTATTTGAAATCCATATATGTTAATATACTGAATTATGAATCAAATTTGACACTTAAAACATTCAATACTGCTTTGTGTGTGCTCTTTATTTGAAGATGTTTTATGGTCATTGTTTCTGTAAAACTGTTAACATGTAGTTATCAGAAGATCAAACTATTTAGATTAGAGATGCATATTATGGTGCTGTAGGTCAGTTATTTACATTAGAGTTTGTTTTTGTATTATGTTTTATACGTATTGTGTGAGAAACAACATTATTGTTTTTCTACTGAGAATGTTTTATAGGCTTTCATCATATATCCCGACTCAGATAAAGTGAGATGATCTGCTGATGATCCTGAATGTCTTGTTGAATGAGTGTTGATTGAGGCTCATCAATATTAACAGCTGCTGAAAACACTCTTTATTTCATGACAATAGTCCTGTTTGCACCTCATTTATTAAGCTGATGTCTTCAGATCTCCTGTAAATTGCCACTTTAAGCTGGTTTGGCATCAACATTATGGTTGCCACCTTCAACGAGGCAAAATAATAAAAGAACATGAAAACAAAACAAAAATCTGTAAAAGGCTTGTAACTGATTATTTCAACACATGACAACTTGACAGCTCAACCATAAACCACGAGAGAACATGAGATCGAGTATGTGAACTTTTATTATTTTACATTTGATTCTTTTATTTGTTTCTAAAGAACTCTTCTGTATATGTTGGTGTGCCTTAATCAGATTCTGAACCAGTAATCACATTATTTACTTATTTAGAACTTATGATTCAAATTATTATGTAATTATTTGTTCCATTTTTATTTAATTAATTTCACACTTTTACACTTTACATAATATTTATTAACGATAAATCAATGAATTGTAATACATGTATTTCTGTCTAATAATGCCTACAAATATAATAGTTAGCTCTGACGATGTATTATATTAAGAGATTATCCAAAGTAAAAACAATACTAACAAAAACCAATAGGCCTATACTTTTATAAGCACGGATGTGTTTGTTACGGCATACTCCAAGCGTGAGGAAATGAAACGCTTCCTTGCAAACTGTGCAGTTCACCTGTACATTCATATCTCAGTTCATGCTTTCAGTTGTTTTCTTACCATTATTTATACTTGGAAGAATTTATATTACATTATTATTTTCTGTTGTCTATTACTACAAAAACAAACTCAGTACCTCAGTGATGTATTTTTGATTTTGGCAGATCAGCTCCTCCCACTCTGGAATTCGTCATCAGTGAAGCTCCTCCCACTCTGAAATTCATAATCAGTGAAGCTCCTCCCACTCTGGAACTCATCATCAGTGAAGCTCCTCCCACTCTGGAATTCAGCATCAGGTGAAGCTCCTCCCACTCTGGAATTCATCATCAGTGAGGCTCCTCCCACACTGGAATTCGTCATCAGTGAAGCTCCTCCCACTCTGGAATTCATCATCAGTAAAGCTCCTCCCACTCTGGAATTCATCATCAGTGAGGCTCCTCCCACTCTGGAATTCATCATTAGTGAGGCTCCTCCCACTCTGGAATTCATCATCAGTGAAGCTCCTCCCACACTGGAATTCATCATCAGTGAGGCTCCTCCCACACTGGGATTCATCATCAGTGAAGCTCCTCCCACACTGGAATTCATCATCAGTGAAGCTCCTCCCACTCTGGAATTCAGCATCAGGTGAAGCTCCTCCCACTGCAGTTCAGCAATAAATGCTGGAATATCTCCATCAGTTCAGAAGTGCAGACGAGCATCAGAGCATCAGGAAGAGCTGAGATCTGATCAAAGACTGAGTTTATTAAAGAGGACAGAGAGAAAATGAGAGATCCAGAGCCCTGCAGAATCAAACACACTGAAGATACTGAAGAACTAACAGGTTGGTGTTTATTCTTAATTTCTCATTCATTCATGTTATAAAGATTTAAGCACTTCATCAGATTTAGATAAACAGTTAAACTATGAAATGTGTACAATATGTTCTTTTTTTACATATAGCTTATATTTTATATCTGGTTTACAATTCTTTGCAAACAAACCACAATTTTTATTACATTTCTCAATATAGTTTACAACATTGTGATTTTTGTTCAGTTATAAACCGTAAACACGAAAATGTATCAAGTAATGACTTAAAGGGTTAGTTCACCCAAAAATGAAAATTAGGCTGTGTTTTACTCACCCCCGAGGCATCCTAGGTGTATATGACTTTCTTCTTTCAGAGGAATCCAGTCGGAGTTATATTAAAAATTGTCTTTGATCTTTCAAGCTGTGTAAATGGCACTCAGCGGGTGTTGCATGCTTCAGTCCAAAAGAAGTTAAATAAAAAGCGCCCATCCATAAAAAAAAAAAGTGTCTCACACGGTTCCGGGGGGTGAACAAAGGCCTCCTGTAGCGATTCCATGCGTTTTGTCAGAAAAATATCCATATTCAAAATGTAATAATCACTTTAATGTAGCTTTAAATCCGAAATTTACCTTAACATATTAATTTAGAGGAAGATGCGACTGAATTGATGCTTGAAGAATGCACTTCCAGCAGCCATGATAAACCGTTGGCGGTTAAAGTTTTCTATGCACAATTTGATTTGACGAAAGTCACGATACCTATTACTCTCTATCCAATCACGTTGATGGATAAAAATAAAATTAAAATAAGCATGTAACGACCACAAACGGAGGAAAATAGTGGAGTAAAAGTACCGATACATCACTTAAAATGTACTCAAGTAAAAGTAAAATACGCAATTTTTAAACTACTCAAAAAATTACAATTACTGATAAAAACTACTTAATTACTGTAACATGAGTATTTGTAATTCGTTACTTCACACCCCTGATCGTTTGACAGCACTAACTGAAAGGCATCTAAGTAATTGTAATATTTTATTGTAGTTGTCTACTTTGTTACATCATGGCTCACTTTTATGTCCTTTCCAGGGCTTAAAGTTCTCCGGCACCGTGCCGGATTTCCGACGTGCAGCGTTTGGCTGCGAAAAAAATACATAAATAAAAATCCTACAATTAAAAAAAAACATGTTGATATCACTTTCGATTCCATGAGTTCGCCTACCAATGGTATGAGAGGAGCACAGATTTCACTCTCAACCAAACTAACATTAGTAGCCAATCAGAATCTGCCAATCAGACAGAGTCGCAGCCCTGATGAATGGAGAAGCGAGACACGTTGAAAAAGCTGCGAGGCGCAATGGTCAAAGATGTCCATCTAGCCCATATTTACATAGAAAAACTAATTAAAAAGCAGCAGAGCTTTGTAAGCGGCTCAGAGTAATCATGTCATCTCCATAAGAACGATATGACGTCCACAACAAATTTACCGGGATTTTTGAAAAGGTCCTGTTCACACATGATCAGATTTAAACATCGTTTAATCACACTGTAAAGTGAAACGTCACCAGGCCGGTGGCGCCCTCTGCAGGTATTTGTTATAATACATAATGTACTTGGTTATGTTCATATTATGTATAGGCATGTTACATCATGTATTTTAACAGTTTTGTTCAATAAAATCATGTAATTACTTGGTTTTGATATTTTATTTGAGGCAATTATTATTGCCTCATCGATAGTTTATATATAAATAGTCATACTAAAGCCTGGTTTTCACTTAGGCCTGTTTGTGTTAGTAAAAAATATCAGATTACTCAGTTGTCAAAATAGGCAGTAGATTACTTGATTACCAAAATAATCATTAGTTACAGCCCTAGATTAGTTAAAATATTTTAAAATACAACTGCATTGTTTTACTTTTTGTCAATGAAAATTTCTTAAAAATAGTATTAAAATATTGCCTCGTTCTAGTGAACCAAGTATCTGTATTTTGTCTCATCTCGTGAGCTAGGTGTATTGTCACACCCCTAGTGTCTATGAGTGTGATAAAGCTCATAATTTTCATAGTGTATGATATAGCTTTCATTCTTCAGGTCAACCATATATTCATGAAAAAAAAAACAGTTTGAATAAAGAAAGCGATAACTTTGTCATAGCATCCTTTCAAATGTTAAAGTTGCCACAGTCATTGCATTCAGGCTCAGGATTTTTTTTTTTTTGCTTTAACCCCTGCCTTCCATGTTCCTGATATTCAATTATTTTGATTTACTGAAAATTAATGTACACTTTTTTTATTTTTATTTTAGACCTTATGGAAGAGAGCGAGGAGAGTGAAGAACTGAGTGAAGTGGAGGAGAAACATCACGACAAACCTGGAGAAAAACCTTCGAGTCGCTCGAAGACTAAAAATAAATTTTTAAAGAAAAGAAAAGCCAATAAATCTTTCACCTGCACTCAGTGTGGGAAGAGTTTCACAAACAAACAAAGTCTTAAGTGTCACATGAGAGTTCACACCGGTGAGAAGCCGTTCACGTGTGATCAGTGCGGGAAGAGTTTTTCAGCCAAATGTAATCTTAAACTTCACATGAGAGTTCACACTGGAGAGAAGCCGTTCATGTGTGATCAGTGCGGGAAGAGTTTCACACATAAACATAATCTTGAGTGTCACATGAGTGTTCACACTGGAGAAAAGCCCTTCACATGTGACCAATGTGGAAAGAGTTTCACACAATTAGCACACCTTAATGGACACATGAGGATCCACGCTGGAGAAAAGCCACACACGTGTGATCAGTGCGGGAAGAGTTTCAAGCAATCATCACACCTTTATGCTCACATGAGGATCCACACAAGAGATATGATGTACCCTTGTGATCAATGCGGCAAAACGTTTCTTTGGGCATCAGCTCTGAAAACTCACCTGGCAGTTCATACGAAGGAGAAGCCGCATTCATGTTCTGAATGTGGAAAGAGTTTTTCACTGCTGCGGAGTTTACAGAAACATGAGAAAATGCATGCTGATGTGAGAGAGTACATGTGCTTTGAGTGTGACAAGACTTTTATTACAGCAAACTGTTTAAACCTGCACCAGAGGATCCACACTGGAGAGAAACCTCACAAGTGTTCACACTGCGACAAGAGATTCAGTCTGTCATCAAATCTGAAAAGACAGAGGATCCACAGCAGAGAGAAACTGCACACATGTGATCAGTGCGGGAAGAGTTTCGCTTTTAAAAGTCAGCTGAAAGGACACATGAAGATCCATACACTGGAGAAACCGGATCACTGCGATCCATGTGAGGAGAGGTTTGTCCAGTTGTCTTCTTCATTCATTCATACAAAACAATCAATCACAGTCTGAAATCACTGTGAAGAGTTCATCTTTATGTGCTGAGCAGTAAAGTCCCTTCTGAGTAAGTTAGATTCCTTTCAGCCACCAGTGTTGGGGGTAATGCATTACAAGTAACGCGAGTTACGTAATCAGATTACTTTTTTCAAGGAACTAGTAAAGTAACGCATTACTTTTTTAATTTACAAGAAAATATCTGAGTTACTTTTTCAAAAAAGTAACGCCAGTTACTTGGTTTTCCCATTTATTGACTGACAAGTCTCCTGTCCCCATATTGGGAGAATTCATCCCACTCACAAAAATCAGATTTGGTATTCATCAAAATGAATTAATACAGTGAAATGCAAACTCAGAATATGACAGCAAACCTGCAATAATTAAATATCTTAAATAACACAAATGTATCTAATCCCATTTTATTAACCAATGTCTTTGCTGCTGACCTTTGATGATCATAGAACTTCTTATATTAAAAACAATCAAGCCCTGCTCATATTAAAAAAAAAAAATGTGAAAGTAACGCAAAAGTAATATAACGCATTACTTTCCATAAAAAGTAACGAAGTAACATAATTAGTTACTTTTTTAGGGAGTAATGCAATATTGTAATGCATTACTTTTAAAAGTAACATTCCCCAACACTGTCAGCCACACTGAGCAAAAGGACATTTTGTTGTTTGTTTGATATCTGATTTAATATTTTAGTATTATTATGAGGTACTGAGACATAGTTACGAGAAAGTATCTCATTATTATGAGAAAGTATCTCATTATTATGGGATGTACTGTATGTTATTATGAGAAAGTATCTAATCGTTAAAAGAAAGTGTCCCATTATTATTTGAAAGTATTTCATTATGAAATTTATTTTCTGAGAATAACAACATAACTCATAGATTGTTTCTCATTATTACTGTTGAACTTTAACATTTTTTGTAATTTAACAGAAAGAGGAGGTAGGAATTAAAACAACAATTATAAATCAACAATACAACAATTAGGAGATGCTAAGCCATAATTATGAGAAAGTTTCTCATTATTATGACTTATTTATGTATACTATTTACTAGGGTTTATAGTATAATTACAAGCAATGAAACTATTATTTCATATAGTTGACTGTTGACAAATATGATGCAGGATAACAACTCCATAAATGCAGTTATACCCTAAAATGGGGTGGGGTCTCATATGTATGTCTGTCTCATATCTCTCATATCTTTTTGTCTCATATTTATATGATAAGCGATATCACACGAGCAGCGAGAGCAATATCACATGAGTGCCATTTTTTCCTGATTTTTGAGTGCAAATGTGATTTGATGCAACAGTTCAGTAAATAAGAAGTTAATATTGTTTTGTTCAATTTTGCCAATGAAAAAATTACCTCTAAAGCCACAGCGGAAATGTTGTGTGTCTGTGAGCAACACAGCGGTGTTTACTTTCTGAATGAATCCGCGTTTTGAACGAATCGTGTGAATCAATGATTCAAAGCCCCATTCATAAAGAGAGCCGTTTACTGAATTCCTGAATGAATCAGCCGTTTGAACGAATCGTGTGAATCACTGATTCAAAGCCCCATTCATAAAGAGGGCCGTTTACTGTATTCCTGAATGAATCAGCCGTTTGAACGAATCGTGTGAATCAGTGATTCAAAGCCCCATTCATACATGGGGGGGGGTCTCATATTTATATTAATGAAAGCTGGTGTAACTTGGCGATAAAAGAAAGCATGTGCAATCTTGATCTTGAACTACTGTGTGTTACACTAGGGCCGTATTATTTCTAAGACTTTGGGACTAAGTGTGACAAATATGCAAAATTAAATAAATAAAAAAACAGGAAGGGGGCAAAAACCTTTTCACAGCACTGTATTTCCTTCTGTCCGGACTCAGTTATTCCTCAGAGAGTCATTAAGAGGTATCTGAATAACGAACCATATGTAATGGGGAATTAAAGATCGCATCAAGAGGAAGAAAATGGCCTACATTTTGGGGAACACTGTCGAGCTCAGGCCAGCACAAAAGGACCTTAATCAGCAACTGAGAACAGTGCAGATACAATATAAGGAACAGGCTGAACAACATTTATGAAAATCTGATACAAAAGAACTGTGGAATTAATTCAGGGAGTGACCAACATGAGCCGATAAGGAAGCCATTGTTCACCGGTAACAAAACCGATAGGGCAAATTAACTGAATAACTTTTATATGAAATTTGAGACTGATAGTTTTAAGGATTGTGATTACATTTTAGGTAAAGTAAACTGTGATGTTGATGATGACAGAATATTAATATATCAAGGGGATGTTACAAGGGTTTCTAAAACTTTATTATCTGGCAATGCATCGAGACCAGATGGTATGTCATGTTTTCTTTTAAAGACATTTGCTGAGGAGCTCACATCTGCCTGGTATCGCCTTTTCCAGCTCTCAGCTGATATGCACATAGTACCAGAGCTCTGGAAAAAACATACTCCCAATAATCATAATCCCAATTGCAAAAAAATTGTCCTCAGGACAATAGTGACTGTAGGCCAGTGGCCTCAACATCAAATGTTATGAAATCATTTGAGAAGATTATAATAAGAGAGCTGTTTAAGGAAGTTTTAGCCATCCTTAGATCAGTACCAATTTGCATACAAAAGTAATCGTGGCACTAACGATGCGATTTCTACATTAACGCATCTTGTTTTAAAGCATCTTGAGAGTCCGGCTGCTTATGCTAGGTTGCTCTTTATCAGTTTTAGTTGCAACTCAATTCAACCACACAAACTATTGGAGAAATTAGTTAACTTAGGAGTCAGTTCTTTCATTATTAATTGGTATTATTTGTTTTTAAAAAGTAAGATGCAACAGGTGAAATTTAATTCAGTTCGGTCTGATGTTGCAGTAAGTAGCACAGGTGTCCCACAAGGGTGTGCGAGTTCACCATTTCTGTTTACTCTTTATACTAATGACTGCGTCAGTCAGCAGTCAAACCAATTCATTATGAAAGTTTCAGATGACACTATTACTACACCTGCTTACAAGAGATTAACGACTACAAAGCTGCTGTAGGGTTTGTGGGCTGGTGTGACGACCACTATTGGCAGATTAACGTTAAGAAAAGGAAGAGGCCATCATCGACCCGAGATCAGTGGGAGAAGAGCTCTGTTGTGAATCATGGTCAAGATATTAAACAGGTTGCTTCAAATAAATACTTGGGGGTCCACATCGACAGTGAGCTGAAATGGCACACGTGTGTCAAGTGCTTGTACAAGAATTCATCAGCGCCTACGTTTTTTAATGAAGATTACGACTATGAGTCTGTCTAAAGATATGGAATTATTGTATGGTTTGGGAGTTTAACAGTAAAAATGAGAGCTCAAATAAATAACTTGGTGAGAGTGTCAGGAAAAATTATGAGGATACAGAAACCCAGTTTTTTAACGGCAGCTGCAGTGACACGATGACGTTACTAATGAACGATTGGCTCTTTCATTTAGAAGGCGGGTCTTATTCGCCATATTGGGTGTTGCACTTTCTCCCATTCATAAGTAATAGAAGTGCACATCTTCCTATTTTACTGGACTCTTCGCAGGTGTTGTTCCCTGAGTATGCGCTGATGAATTCTATCAGGGTTCCATTGTGTAGGCATAATCAATACAAATACTCATTTGTCCCATTGTCTGTTAAAATTAATTAATGAGCAATTACGGCAGGATGTTTAAAAGGGAAAGGAGAAGAAAAAACTGCAATAGTTGTTATTTCAGATAACTGAGGGTTGTGTTGCGTGGTTCTTTATTATTTAAATGGTATTGTTTTTATAGTGTTGGAGTATAGGATTATAATGGCTGCTATTGTGTGTGTGTGTGTGTGTGTCTGTGTGTGAGTGTATGTTGCAGCATTTCTGCTGAGGTCCTAAGGGAGACAATAAATACTACCCTTGACCATTGACCCCTTTTTTGATTATTAAAAACAATTGAAGAAAAATAGTGTGTTGCCGTGGCATGCTATCCTGTGTGGTTTGTGGATCTTGAGTTTATATGATCAATTTACACTTAGTACTTAGTGTAGAAACTGAAATATTTATTGTTCATCTCGCATCATATCTATTAAAAATGAAATGTTTGTTTTTGGCAGAAGTTCCAGAAATCAGTCAGAGTTGACATCAGAAGGAGAGGACACGAGTGATTCAGAAACTGCAGAACGAAACATCACGATACTGAAGAACAAACAGCTCGGTGTTTATTCTTCATTCCTCATGCATCATGCTGAAGAAGCCTGTGCTGTGTAGGAAACAATGTGACTGTTAGCAGATTACATGTCAATGTAGAGTTTCATGACCAAATTAGTGATGTATTACACAAATCATCTTCATGACGTTAAAATAGATCATAATTGGAGCAGATTTGATGGATTAAAATGACTAGTGAACTCGTCAGTTATCTTGACTTTTGGGTTTTCATCACTTTTCATTTCACGTTTGTCTCTCATTTGAAATCTCACGTGATTTAATGTTTCTTGTAGACCTGATGGACGTGAACAAGAAAGCAAAACCAGAAGCCTGCCCTCAGTGTAAAAAAAAAGATTGCGGTGTAAATCAAAGACACGGCGGTGTGTGTTTAGGTGCTGGAAGTCTTTTACTACAGATGCTGATCTGAAAGAACACTAGAAAATTCACACTGGAAAAACTTTCAGGGAGCTGAAAAAGAGGCCAGAACACTTTTAAGAGAGACATGAATCTGATAGTATTTTTAACTTGTTCTTCATTAGAACATCTAGTTTCTCTTCCACTTCTACTCTTCCATGCAAATGTAAAATATACTTTCATGTAGCTTTAAAACCGGACACGGGTTTTTGTATTTGCTTCGAGTAATAATTGATTAAACTCAATACTCATTTTATCTTATTGTTATTGTCTGTTATTGTACTTTTTTTGCACAAAGAAAACACTGTAACTTA